GAAAAAAATGAGTTTATGTATCTCTTCATATCATTAAGGCCAATGATGAGAGGGTTTGAGTTCTGTAGGCCTGTTGTTGTTGTTGATGCTTCACATCTTAGCGGATCTTATCGAGGGACATTTGTATCGGCAAGTACACTCGATGGGGCAGGTATGACATGTTGTTTATTAATTTGATTTTTCAAGATAGTAATATAACATAATGGAACAATCATATATAAAGAATCGTAATGGTATGTGTTTAAATCTGAAAGTTGTATCTTGCCGTTAGCTTATGGAATTGTAGACACGAAAAATGATTGTTCATGGACATGGTTCTTCCAACACTTTAAAAATGTATTTGGTGATAGAGAACAAATGTGTGTTGTATCATATCGAAATGAAAGCATATTGAAGAGTGTAAGTATTATTTATCAGTGTGTTGTATCAGATCGAAATGAAAGCATATTGAAGAGTGTAAGTATTGTTTATCCAAATGTTCCTCATTTCGCATGCATATGGCACCTCTGGAAAAATGTGTGTACATACTACAAGAGAAGCAGAACCATACTAAGTGATATTTTCTATTCGATGGCAAAGGCTTATCGGAAAGATGATTTTGAAAAATTAATGGCTAAAGTGGAAAAAATAGATGGCAGAGTTAAGAAGTATCTTCAAGATGCTGGGTATGAAAGGTGGGCTAGATCTCATGCAACTGTGAACAGGGGGAGGATGATGACTTCGAACATAGCGGAATGTATCAATGGTTGCCTTGTTGATGCACGACAATTACCTATTATAGACTTTCTGGAAGAAGTTAGAATTCTATTTGGTACTTGAAATTGCAAAAATCGAGAAATAGCATCTTATACAAAGGAAACATTAGGGAGAAGATTTGAAGAAATATTGATTATAAACGCGTCCAAATGTGTGAAAATGAAGGTACATATTTGTATTATCAATTTTTATGTTTCTAGCTTTACTTCTCGTTATATTGTTAAGTATACCAATTACAAATTCGTTTGATGTATCTGTAATTTTTAAACATTTGCAGGTAGTTGCATCTTCTGAATATATTTTTACAGTGTATGAAGGTGCGATAAGATACATTGTATGTCTTGAGAGAAAAACTTGTTCATGTGGTAGATTTCAACATGACGAGATACCTTGTGCGCACGCAATGACTGTTTTGAAGAAGAAGTATATTAAAGATGTACATCCCTACTGCTCTGATTACTATAAACATGATGCATTAACAAACACGTATGCACTTCCAATAGAACCAATGCCAGACAAAAGTGATTGGATAGCTCCAGAATCTGTTTTGGAAGAAGTAGTCTTGCCACCAAGATACAAAAAAATGCCTGGAAGGCCAAGAAAAAAAAGGAAGAAAAATCCAGATGAAAAGATTACCACAAACACGAATTGTTGTGGACAGGAAGGTCACAATAGAAGAACATGTACTTTCTTCCCAAAAGATTCTTAATGGTTACTATTTTATGATGCAATAAATGAATAATGTTATGTTTTGGCAACATTATGTGACTGTCAATTTATTATAAAAATTAGATTGGTATACTATGTGCTTTTTATAATTTTTATATCGATTAATAGTGCCAAATAGCTGTGATGTGTGCCAAAGTTAATAGAGACAACATTTAAAAAAGGTATCATTTGATCAATTATATATCATATACATAATACATTCTTCTAAATTTTGTATCTACTAATAATAGAGTATCAGAAGTTGAATTTTTTACCAATATTATATATCATATACATAAAATTTCGATATTTATGGACGAAATTTGAGTTTTCATGCACAAAATAGTTTTCTGGAAATTAAGTATAAGATATTTAAAAAGTTAGATTGATTTTAGTATAAAGTTTGTATATGATACTTGATATCTTTGAAACTTTGTCATGAAATGATAAAACTGTATCAATTTGAAATGTTTTAGGCACCTATGTATCATATACCTAATATTTATATAAGTAAAAAATATTTAGTATCATCTTATAAAATATAAATTGTACAGTGTTGTGTGAACAATAATTATGTCATTTTAAGATACTTAATTTTTGTATCATATACTTAATATGAGTGATGAAATTTTGTATCGATTAATAGTGCCAAATAGCTATGATGTGTGCCAAAGTTAATAGAGACAACATTTAAAAAAGGTATTATTTGAATCAATTATATATCATATACATAATATATTCTTCTAAATTTTATATCTACTAATAATAGAGTATCAGAAGTTGTATTTTTTACAAATATTATATATCATATACATAAAATTTCGATATTTATGGACGAAATTTGAGTTTTCATGCACAAAATAGTTTTCTGGAAATTAAGTATAAGATATTTAAAAAGTTAGATTGATTTTAGTATAAAGTTTGTATATGATACTTGATATCTTTGAAAACTTTGTCATGAAATGATAAAACTGCATCAATTTTGAAAATGTTTTAGGCACCTATGTATCATATACCTAATATTTATGTAAGTAAGAAATATTTAGTATCATCTTATAAAATATAAATTGTATAGTGTTGTGTGAACAATAATATGTCATTTTAAGATACTTTAATTTTTGTATCATATACTTAATATGAGTGATGAAATTTTGTATCGGATTCACTATAGTAAAATCTGCATTGACATGTATAATACTTATAATATAGAAAAATTAATAAGGTATTAAAATGCAGTGAAAACTAATTTAGAAGCGACAAAAAAGTGTGAAAATAAATGCTCTTCAAAAATATAATAATTAATTACTTAGAAATATAATGTAGACCTGGAGAGGAATACTACAAAACACTTAATGTATCTTCAAAACAGTAAAAATTCACATCTTTACGGTAAGTCAGTCAATAAACAACTAATCTACATTAAACAATTCATCATCTGCCAAGAGAATGGAAGCAGCCTTTAGCCTTATAAGATCATCATTCTCGCTAACGTATCCAGCATTGGCCTTGTCGGTACCATATTTCCATAACAGTGTTGCATATCTTGAGCAAAGATATTCACTTTGAAAAGGAATCGATGGGACCTTGATTTCATCGCTTAGAAATTAGCAAAAGCAGCTACATATGTTCCGCAGTCGCTGCAAACATAAAGAAGATACATTATAAATTGAATGAAATGTGTAAATAAAGGTGGGTGGATTAAATACTAACAGGCTATCGCTATTTTATTGCATAATGCCTCGAGCAAATTCCATTTCAAACGGATGTTGTGGACCCATCAATTCACCAGTTTTGTTGTCTTTGTATGCATCCAATGTTGCCCAATCAATTTTGTCGGTTTTATCAAAGAATCCACTATCATGAAGGTAGTTAGGCAGGATGATAGACAACTGTTTTATCTCATCAGATTGACTTTTGTTCCTTGTTCTCAATTTTGAGTCATAAACTCGGATTTACCGATTCCTTAAAACAACCACAGCCAACACCCAATGAAATTCTTCGTCACAGTTGATCGGAATATATACCTCATCTACTAGATGCCATGGTAAGCAGCAGGGACAGAAAAACCATTGATGACGTCTTTGATGGACCTTTCATATACAGATACAACATCAGCTCGGGCAATGTGTTGCTGTGTACTGCAGGACTGCAATAGTACCTTTTGTACACATTTTTTATATAGGTATTGAACAAGCAGTTGCATGTAGTGTATCTGTATTGATCCATGCTTCTTAGTTTTGACTTCTTGCGTAGATAGTAAAAAATTACATCTATGTGCTGCAAAATTAAAGAAAAAAAGAACACAATATATAAAAACAACAATATATGATAAAAAGTATATGATACATGTAACAATTATACAACACAATTAGTAATCTGGTTTTTTTGAGTTACACATGTTAATTGTATATCGTATACATAATTGTATTGTATATTGTACCTGATCAGTCCAACATTTTTTTGGATGTGACATAGTATAAAACCAGTTCTTGTCCAAAGGAAATGCGACAACAAAATCCATATAATCAAAGCCAAATAGAACACTTTTTCCTCTTACTCTTGCATTAAAAGTGACAAAACTTGGTAGGTGATGCCACATCCTTCAAATGGAGTATATGGGCGAATGTCATCGTCTATTTTCCCCTTGCCCTTATCGCTGGATCCAAAAATATTCACATAAGGAGACTGCAAAATCTTTGAAGGGATTCTGTTACGTGGAGCTGGAGTCTTTGTATCAAGATTGTGTGCAGATTTCTTGATTGGAAGTTGGGTGGGTAGCTGGCTATCAGATAGAAAATCATCACTGTTGGTTAGCTGTGGAGGAATGATTACACTCAGTGGTGCGACATTAATTGGCTCATTTGGAAGTTTGTAGACAATTGCATCTATGACTGTTTCAGTGCCTGATGGAATAGATGCCGCTTTGGAAGAATCCTACATGATATCAGTAAATTATAAGAAAATAGTACAATTTTTCTACGCAACTATTGACATTTGCATTAAACAATTTAGAATCAGACAGATGTATCAACAATTACTGGATTTGAAGCATGTCTTTTGGAGTCTTGTTTAATTGAATCAGCAACAAGTTTATCACAGCTCAATACTTTTGTGTGCAATTGTGTGACCTTATGTACTGCATCCTCCTAATAAACAGAATATTGCACAGCATTTCGATTTAATTTCAAAAATAATTAATTATAACAATTCAAAAGCTCTTAACTTACCACTTCCTTATTATGAACAAACTCTTCTATCGAAAAATCACTATGGTGTATTGTGGGTATAACATTTGTTGAATCTTCCATAGTCTGATCCTTAATGGATGTCTCATCAATATGTGTTTGTAAACGCATATATTAAGATGCAATTACAAAGTATCTGTTACTAGTGATTCAAAAAAAAAATAGTGTCAATCGAGATTTAAGTGTTTACTGTATACCAATGATACACAAAAAAATAATGATTATTTCATTATATGAATTAAAATTAATAATGTATCAGTCATTTGTAAATTATACATTGTTAATAATTTTAATGAAATTAACTAATGATTGAAAGTCATTAAGTTATATAATTAAATTCAAGTATCATATGCATACCTTTGCAACATTTTCTTCGTTAACATGTCGTTGTTCAACCTCCACATCATTTGCATCAACATCATGATCAACAGTTGCAAAATCCTTAATGGATGGCTCTTCAATCTATGTTTGTAAAACAAAATATAAGGAGGGAATTATAAAGTATATGTAAATTTAAGTATCATATGCATACCTTTGCAACATTTTCTTCATTAACAAGTCGTTGTTCAACCTCCATAACAGATGCATCACCATCGTGATCAACAGTTGCAAAATCCATGTGTATAGGTGAAATGGGTTGTTGGAATAATTGATCAGAAGCAGATTCTAGATCAACATTACCTTTGTCTACTGAATCATCCACTATATGTGGCATAGAAATGCCACCAATGTCCTTTATGATGAAAAAAATGAGTATAACACAAAACTAAAAAGATAATCTAAAAAATAAAAATTCTACCTTATCACTTTTGTTATCTTTCGCGACAACTGCTTTCATCAACTCAGAATGATTTTTTATAATTAACGCCTCAAGAGCTCTAATTTTTTGATCAACCTGGATTCAAATTAAGCATAGTAAGTGAGATTATAAATAACAATGAAAATGTTTAAATGACATAGTTATGTTTACTTACATAAGACTTAATGTGACCCTCCAGATCCTGGAGTCTTGCATTGTCCGATGATGTTCTTCGGGGAACTGTATTAAGATGAACACCAAATACATTATCAAACTTTAGGGGTTGTGAAATCGGAGTTTGAAATGGTTGATTCTTTTGCACGTCTGGTGTTGTCTTTGGCACATTATTCTTTGTTGGATGTGCAACCTTTCTTCTCTTGGGGGTGGTGTGGATCCTGTGGTAGAAACACGTGTGCATCTCCTTAACAGTTGCTCCGGAGGTTTTGATGAAAACTCTTCAAAATCAGAAACATTGTCTGGTTGCACCTCTTCCTGATTAGCAACTGATGTGGCTGGCCGATTTGGAGGTACATGACTATTATTTGGTAAATCAAGTGATTCGAGTTCCTCTTGAGTTGGCTGCACGTTAGAACAATCATTCTATAGAAAAAAAAAATTAAAACATCGTTAGAACTATTTAATAATGTATCACAAATAAAACAATAAAGTAAAAAAGGATGATATATACTAATTACCTCAGTAAAGATGTTTTCCATAAACATCTCGTATTTAGGCTTTGCACCCACAACTTTCCAATTGCATACTCTTGGTATACCATTTCCTTCTCTAACAGCTATCTCGATATGTATTGCCGACGCACATTCATATACCCAAATATTAAGTGCGTATGGAAATTCATTCAACCGATACATTTGTTTGTCAGGTTTGTACTCTTTCCTAAATGATTTCATTAACTTCGTGAAGGCAAGTTGTCCCCACGGAAACTGTTTATAGCTGCCATCTTCTACCATAAAGAAATCTTCTATAGGAATTGGTGCATCACCGAGTTGGGAGAAAACAAACGTATGAATGAAATACAATATAGCCATCTGAAGAGCATCATCACTGCTGTCCCAAATACCCAACTCAAAACGATCTACAAGTCGTCCTTTGTTTATGTTAGAATGAGGACCAGGAAAGTATCGCTGAACCAGCCTACTGATTTTTGAAATCGGATATGTAAAATCTTTTAACATTTTCTGGTACACTTGAGACCCAGTAATAATTTGCAAAATTCTCTAATAGAAAAATTGCAATACATTTCCTTTAGCATGTCGAATAGGAATTTCTTTGTCTAAATTATCATGCTTAACCTCTAGAAGATATAAACATTTGGTAATTTGTCCTTGGTAGTGGCACTTGGGGATATTAAGGTATTGGCCAAATATGGTATCTTTAAACATGTTCATACCTTCATCCTTATTGACAATTCTAAGTTTCTTTAAAATTAGAATTGTAAGTAGGACCAAACTTTAGAGGTTGCTTTGGAATATGTTTGATCACATATTCCATATTCTGCAATTACAGAAAGATAAATGATGTTGATCAATAACTAAATCGATAAATGATGCATACATAACTAAAAGGGAAATATCATAATTGATTCAAAATATTATGTTTCAGATCATTTTATACTAAGTATGCCAAAATTGCATGACTAATACAGGAAATCATATTACTTATGTATATACACTGGCTTCTATTTAAACATGATACAAAATGTTAACTAACATATATGTTAAATTCTGTTTTCGCATCATTCATGTGCATATCTACGAATATGATACATTGTACAACAAATAACCTCTATATCATACAACGAATTGAACGCCTATCTTAAATACAAATCTCAGCACACAAAACTTGCCTTAAACTAGTGTTTCATCTACAAATGTAAAACAAATACTTATTTTTGTATCATCTACATATATGAATCACAAGTAACAGATACGTTATTTTAGCAATGAAACCTTAATATCAGCAATTGATAAAATATCAGTGTTTTTGGGTAGAAAATCAACATTTCAGTATATACCAAGATACTTTATTTTTCAACAATGAAACCTTAATACCAACAATTGATAAAATATCGGTGTTTCTGGGTAGAAACTAAACATTTCATTATATACCAAGATACTTTATTTTTCAACAATGAAACCTTAATACCAACAATTGATAAAATATCGGTGTTTCTGGGTAGAAACTAAACATTTCATTATATACCAAGATACTTTATTTTTCAACAATGAAACCTTAATACCAACAATTGATAAAATATCGGTGTTTCTGGGTAGAAACTAAACATTTCATTATATACCAAGATACTTTATTTTTCAACAATGAAACCTTAATACCAACAATTGATAAAATATCGGTGTTTCTGGGTAGAAACTATACACTATATACGTTTATTTTTCAACAATGTCTAAAATTAAAAGCAAAAGAAAGACATACCATGGGTAGTGTTGGTCGGAAAATGGGAGGGGCAACCTTTCTACCCCTTTTCTTTTTAGTTTTTGCATCCTTTGCTTTAGATGGTGACCCCACTTTCGTTTTCAATTTTCTCTTGGAAGAAGATCGATTCGCCATTAATGCCGTTGCATGCAAGCTTTTAGACCTCTGTTCATTCAAGTTTGGGTATTCAGATTCAAAAATTTGTTCATTGTTAGGTGTTATTAATTGGGAAATCCCAATATTAAAAAACGGATGATCCATTGTGACAAATAATCCAAAATCGATTGAAACAAAAAATTGATTTTGAAAGAAAAATGAAGAAGAAGAATAATACCTATTTTGAACTTTGAGACTGTTGAATCATTTGAAAATCCAATTGCTTTGAAAGCGGTAACTAATTTGGTAGTGGGAGAGATTATAGGCGAGATTTTGGGGTGAGGAAGATGGGTTTGGTTTCTTTCATAATAAAGTATCCGGAAAAGAGGAATTGGGGAAAAGTAGGGATTTTTAAATTTTATGAAAGAGAAGGGATTAATTGATAATAGGTAAACATATGTAGTGTACTTTAGTAATTTTGCCTAAATTGTAATGATACAAACAGTAACAAAATCATTAAATAAACTCTATTAAATATATATATATATATATATGTGTGTGTGTGTGTGAAGAAAAAATAGTATAGACTGATTCTTGATCAATGAGGAAATTTGTATCGATAACGTGTTATAAAATAAAATATGTGTAGTAAAATAAAATGAAAAGAAGAAAATGGGAGAAAGAGAGAGAGTAGTAGTAGTACGTAGTTGTTGTTTTTCTCTATTATTGAATGTTTTTTTTTCCTTACTCTTACCTTATGTTACAAGAAGAGGGCTATATATACATATATATACTTGGGCACCAAATATAATACATGAATATCTATTTGTCATGTAAATACTTGTGCACCAAGTATATTATATGGAGGATTTGGTTACAATACATAGAATGTTGTGTTCATATCCATCTTACACACAATGCATATTGTGTACATGTATGTCACAACACAAAATATATTATGTGTACATTTATGTTACAAAAATATACTTCTGTGGACATCCATTTTACAACAGTTACTATTTTATATATTTGCTAGTATAATTTAGTTACATATATTATTTGAATTTTATACGTAATTATATACATTGATACGATATTTGATATTTTGATTTTTTTTTATAAATATCAATTTCACTGTAATATTAAATATTTACCATATCATGTCCTTGGTTGGAGTTGACAATGGAAAAATAATGTAATTGAGATGCTTTTTTACCAGTGTTTAAAGACAAAAAAGTACGTAAGAGTACTGTCCAGTGTTGTGTAAACGACTTCTGTGAACACCAAAAGCTGTTGTTTGTAATGAAAAATCACAATCATTCATGACAGCCCTGCATATACACAATACATTGTATATGTCTTTCATTTTTCTGTTAAAATCCTTTTGTTTTTTTTTCTCATAAGCTACCCCAAACCCTAGCTAGTACTACTCTTTCATACGCCCCACTTAATTAAATATTCCAGCTTATATATTTAAATATCTAAGCTGGTATATATATATACCTCTATGGTCGAGCGCAACTATGCGAGTCATAATGCTTTTCATTTCTCTTTTCTCCATTTGCTACAAGTTTTTGCTTGGATTAGGCGCGCACGGCATAAATTAAATTTAGTGACTAAAATTCAAAAAAACCAAGGAAAGTTTCTAACTATGATTTAGATAATAAATACATTATATATTTGGTTCCAAAAATTATTTTAATCCTACCATCTTAGCAACATATTATCTTATCTATAAATATAATACTAAAAATATTATTCTCTTTCTATTTTTTTTCCTTTCCAGTATTTTATCGTTCAATTATTTTTTTAATTAATATTTAATAAATAATCTTTTTTTTTTGTTAGTTCGCGTACTTACTAATAAAAAAACAATTGGACAATAAATACTACATAGGGAAAAAAAAGTAAGAGAGATTTTTTTTTACTTTATTTATTGGATATGATAATATGTTTCTTAGACCATGGGATTATAATAATTTCTTGGAATTAAAGATACATTATATTTATCATCTAATTATGGTTATGTATAGATATATATTTTTAATTATAATTAAATCTTAGCCATGAAATTTAACTTGTCATATGTCCTCAATTCAACCAAGACCTTATAAGAATTACTTTGTCAAGGCAATAGTGTAAATGAAGTGTACTGGTTTAATTAAGAAGTAACTTAACATTTTAAAGCTACAATCGGATAAGGTAATCCTTAGAAAAAACTTACCTCAAGCCAATGCAATTTACATTGTTACATAATTTAATGAAGTAAAACACATGTTAATTAATTATGGTTAAGTAAAATGAACTATAAATTTATACACATGGCATGCATGTATTGACTTAGTGTATACATCCAGTGTAGATAAGTTTTACCCGTAGATTTATTTTTCCCTTTTTTATTTTTTTCATAATAAAGGGATAAACCGCAACCTTGAACTTCAACCAATCGATCGGTCACGAGTCATTTGGCTTTATCTCAATTCAACAAAACTAACAAGACATGTACGATATATTGTTTCCAAATAAACAAGAAATTAAACAGAAAAATGGTTGCTGATAACATCAAGGCTGAATAAGTAAGATAAGAGATTTAACACTTTTTTGGAGAAATTTCCTCTGTCCCAGTTTATTTGATTTTTTTTAATCTGTTTTAAAAAGAATGATTCATTTCTATATTCAGTAACAATTTAACTTTAAAATGAAAATTTTATCCTTAATAAAATGATTTATAACCACATAAATATATTGCTTATTTAAAGCCACAAATTTCAAGTTTTCCTAAACTCCGTGTCAAATCAAATTGACTCATATAAAATGGGGCGGAGGGAGTAATACTAGTAGTATACTTACACAACTAGATACTCTCTCCGTTCCTATTTTATATGTCACCATTTTTTATTTCACGTGCATTAAAAATTAAGTAAGTTTACTATTCTATCCTTATTTAATTTTTTTGGAGTAAACTTTTCAATCAACGAATATGAATTAATTTATTTTGATTAATTAATTTGGTCAAATAATGTATATTTTCAAGACTAATAACTCACAAGGGTAAACTAGGAAGAATATTGTAATTTATGCATTGATTTTATGAAATGACAAATACTTCCTCTGTCCACTTTTATTTGTCATGTTGCGCTGTTCGAAAGTTAATTTGACTAATTTTTAAAGTTAAATAGATTACATTAATTCAATATTTTAAACAAAAAAAGATATTCAAATACTATACGAAAAGTACTATAAATTGCAATTTTTTGCATATCAATATGATGAAAAAATACATGTAAAATGTTACTCAAATTTCTTATAATTTGACTCAAAAAAGGAAATTATGATAATTAAAAATTGACGGAGTGAGTATTATGGTTGAACTATTTATAGTGATGATGACATATAAAAATAACGGATTACATGTAAAAAACAATGGAGGGATTATATGAAAAAGTGAGTGAAGATGGCCAATTCATATTATTAAATTATGATCTTACAAACGATCATCACAACACAAAAGCATACTATTTAATTTATTAATCCTAATATTTCTTATTAATAAATTTCGTGACTCAATTTACTCTCATTCTTGCTAACACTCATATAATTAATAAGTATTAATCTTCCTAGTAATTATTATAATCTCAAACACAAACTCTCACTTGAAAGAAGTCTAACTAATTAGCCATGAACAAGGCCACTTGAGAGTGCCATTAGGAGGATTGCTGCTTCCTTCTCATCTTGTGGGAAAATTTGTTGGAAAGCCAACTGGTTGCTCAAGTTTATCAACAAGTCTTCAAAACCAAGTTTCTTTGGTGCATTATTAGTACCAGAGGAAGAAGGACCCAATTTGCACCTTTTCTTGAAGGGTGTAACATGATTGTTAGTTCTAACTTTTGTTATATTTGGTTTGTGTTGTTGTACCTTTATCTTCATTGCTGTTTGATGATCAGTTTTCCCATTTGCTGCTGCTGCCATTGCTCGTCTTGCCTTCCTTTGTCGGATTCCACATGCGTTACACAATGACTGTAAACATCATTTCAGATTCAGTACGTACGAATTTTAACATTGCCAAAGAAAAATTGTCCTTGTATATGTTTAACTTTAGTAGGAATTTTAACAAAATGGAAAATAAAAAAAGATCTGTTTTCGATGACTATCTCATCTGGATAGAAGCTTAAGTTTTTATGAAACATGTTTGTTTTCTTTTTCTTTTTACATAAAGGCAGTGAGATTTATGTCAGAGTATAATTAAATTATAAAAATGTGGCTTCTCTAACAGTTTAAGTTACTCTTCAATTGTGGGATCAAAAAAAGAATCAGGTTGTATTGAAAATATATACAACTAAATAATACAAGTGTACTCTCTAACCGCGCTTAATTAAGTTGTTAGAACACTTCAAGCAATTTGAACCAAGAAGTCTCTCTAAAAGAGTAAAAGTTAAGGAGGGTAAAAATACACATACATTTGACATGTATAATTGGAGTAAAAAACAAAAAAAGATTACCTTAGGTCCTTTAGGACCACTTCTCCAAAGAGGGGTCTTAGTAGTGTTACAATCAGTACAAACCCTAATAGGTATATTGTTAGAGCTGTAATCAGTTTGTATAGGTTGTTGCTTTTGATCTCCCAACTTCAATTTGATGCAATCATTATTGGTGATATTTTTCTTTCTTTCTTGATCCAAGTCTTTTATCTCTGAAGACATGACTAACTTGTCTTCTCTCTTCCACAAGCTCAATTTGAGGCCACTTCCTCCCTTGTTTTTCTTCCCTAAATCATATGACGATCCACCATCATTATCAACCTATAAATCCACAAACAAAAACATCCGAAAAACACACTCAACATTAATTACTTATTCTGAACCCGAACAACAAAATCCAAGTGATCTTGGAAAAAATTGTAGTACCATAGTAGTTTTTTTTTTTTGAGATAAAGTAATACATGATCAAACATGAGGGGGAAAAAAAGAGACCCTTTTGTTGTATGTACCTCAAGTTGATGCTCATTTTGCATATAGTATTGGGTATGTTGATGATGAAAACTTGCCGTTTGATTGGTAGTTGAGTTGAAGAAAAAGTGATTATAGGATGAGTGAGAAGAAGAAGCTTGATAATTAGGGGTAACAAGAGAATTGTTGAGATCATTGTTGTTATTATTATTGAGGCCAAAAGGGAAATTAGGAGTTATGTGATCAGGTGGAGTCATGGGGAAAGTGATCAAGAAGAATGAGATAGATTGATCAAGAGGGAGATATTGGTTTGAGGAGTTGATCTTAAAAGAAGAGTCTTTTTTAGTCTAAGGAGAGAGAGGCTTAGACATTCACGTGACTTCATGACAACTAAACAGTTTTAAAAGAGACAAAACAAAAGGAAATAAGAGATGAATACTACCACTCGACTCAACCCTATCTTCAAAACATTACTCTACATCCCAAATTTATATAGCAATAAAATAAAATGTCATAAAATTTTGTTTTTTTGGTAAGTAAAATTTATTTACCAAGTGAATGTTACAATTCAGAAAACTCAGTAGGTATGGACATAAGCTCCCTCATTGCTAACCTCAAGAAACATAACTCACTAGCTACCCTTTACGGATACATGCATATTTAAAGCATGTAACCTAGTAGCTAATTTAGGATATCTACTCCCTCTTCCATGTGTGTCCTGAATGATATGCCCAACAATTGTGCTTGATAGCTGCTTCTTCTGTGTGAATTTCCTACTATTGCGCTCTAGCCATAAGTAATAAAGTGAACTTGCTATTGCCAATTTGTAAACGAGGGTTGTGCTGCCTTTCCCCTTCATATACTTAATTGCCCATTGAACTTCAGTTATCTAGTGCATTGTGCTTCTGTTGATTCCTTGCCAAGTATTTTCTTCCACATTTATGTAGTATATGAACATTGAAAGAATAGATGGTTGAGGTCATCATTCAGCAGCTGACATAGAGGGCGTATAGGGGACTATATCACACCCCATTTAGCCAGTTTATCTTTAGTCTCAAACCTTCTATTTACTGCTAGGTACATGATAAACAACAATTTAGGAGCTCTCATATTTGTCCCGACCAATGATCTCCATTTTGCCTACTCCACTGTACCCCTCATCTGCATATACTCTTTGCCAATGGAGTATTTTTTTCCATGTTTTTTATACATGCTTTAGTAAAACAAACCTGTTGGAGATGTTAAACAACTTTTAGGATTCTTTGAACTACCCAAGAAGTCTGCTTTGCTTGTATGTTTCACACACCATTCTTCCCATAATAGCTGTGTATCCAAGCAACTCATAGCTTGTCTTTAGTCTGGTATAAATTCCATAACGACTTCCCAATTGCAGCCTTATTCCATGTATATATTGTAAGAAAGTGCAATACTCCATTTGACTTGAGACTACAAAGCTTATCCCATGCAATTAAAGCCTTCATTGAAGTCTCAATATTTCCAGTCTATATGAATCTCCTACACATAGCCTCCAGAGTTTGAATAATGTTCTTAGGTAAGGAAAGTATTTGGGACAAGAACATTTGGATAGCATACAATACACTCTTGATGAGTTGAGTTTTTCCTTCATATGATAAGAATTTGATGGTCCATCTTGTGATTCTACCTAGCATATTCTCCAATAATGGTTTGCACTGAACTAAGGATACCCTTTTAGTACTTAAGGGACTCCAAGGTATCTGAATGACAGTGCCCGCTTAACAAATTGTAGTTCTTCTAGTATATTTTGTCTGAGCTCTTGCTGAACTCCATCAAAGTAAACATTACTTTTCTTTATATTTGCAACCAGACCTGAAGTCTGAGAAAATTTCGTAAAAAACTATACATACTCTTCACTAATCTTATATCCCCTCTGCAGAACATCAGCGAAATTCAATTGCACTATTTTTTGACTTTACATCTAAGGTGGTAATGGAAGTTAGGATCTGTCTGCAAAACTCTTAAAAGTTCTTGTCAAGTAGTTGATTGCTAATACAAATAAATAGGGGGACATTGGATCCCCTTATCTTATCACTCTCCTTGCTTTGAATAGTGTTGTACTGTGTCTATTCATCTGAATGGAGTATGTGACTATTGTAATACATTGCATTATCCACTTAATGACTCTACTTGGAATTTTGAGTCCCTCCAATATCTTCTCCAAAAATGTCCATTCAAGAGAATCATATGCTTTTTTCATGTCAATTTTAACCGTACACCTTTTAGAGATCCCATGTCTCTCAGATCCTTTCACATTTCATGACTCAGTATCACATTGTCATTCAAAAGTCCTTCATGGTACAAATGTTAATTCGGTAGGATCTACAAAACTCTCCATGAATAAATCTTAACCTAGTAGTGATTACTTTTGATATAACTTTGTATAATGTTGAGTAGCATGAAATTGTTAAAAAGTACTTTAAAAACTTGGGAAAAAATTCTCAACAATTTTCTCACAATATACAAAAAGTTAGAATGTCCATTACCTATCGAATTGAAGGTCTAAAAGTCTAGTTCAAACTCTCTTAACTGTTTGCCATACAACTTCAAAATATAGAGATATTTATGTTTTTGAGAGACAACACAACCAGACACCTCGATATGGGTCTCCCTTGCCCCTAAATCGGTGGTCTTTATAAAATACCACCTTCTTCATAGTTTTTCCATAAGAATTTGATGAAAACCCAAAAAACTCATAATAAAAACTTCCAAATATTCCTTAGATGTTAAGTTTCTTAACTCAAAAGTTTAAAGAAAATTTCTCTATGTTGCAAGCTCATCATTATGGTATAGTTTTGGTATTTATTTAAGCTTTGTTTGTTGTTGCTGCAAAGAGGGTGCTTTTCAACATCATATTTTAAGAATTTTTATTAAGGTAATCTTCTTCTTACCACCCTTTCTTGTAATTTCATGTCCTAGTATCATTTTTAATGATTTACGAGACATGGGGTGGTGTGTTTGATATCGTGGCCATGGGAAGCCACTTTGTCTTATTTAGTTTGGCTATTATGTTTGTGTATTGGGGGTGTTAATGTACAGAAGAGAATGAGGGTCAGTGTAATTCTTATTGTAGTCACATACGATGGTTGTTGGATTGAACTTTGTGAAGTACGCCTTGTTATGTTGCCTCAGGAGATCGTCTCTCTTTTGAAATGTTGTTAGAAGATCTTTACTGGATTTAGCTGATGTTTATTGTTGTTATTGGCCTCATTTTGTGTTGTGGGTTGGAATGGCCACAAGTGTGGCATTAGCGCCTTATCGATTAGTTATGACTCATTCTTGCAACCTTATTGGTTTTTGCATTGTTGCATTACTTTTGGTAGGTCAAGCTTCACAAAGACACCTTTGGGACTTTGGTTGAAAGGTATGTAAAGTCTTTAATTTCTCTTTTACCATGATCTTAATAGCCTAAGTTTGTTACGGTCAGTATAATGTCACTGTTTGACTTGCTGCCTTATCCTATTGAGTTGGCTACCACAATATGATATAATGTCTATCAACAACACTCTACTCGTTGCTTAGTAGCCTAGAAAAGCATGTTATGATTATGTTTTGATCGATTATGATTACTTTCTACTGTTGTGATATTTTATCGTTTGGCTGCTGCTTATGAACTTATTTTGGCCTTAGTAGACACTAACATTGCGGGGTTCTTGAGCATATAGATTGATGTGTCGTACTATACCAATGTGCAAGTTATATTGTGCCTATGGTCCAGGTAGACTGTACAAACAGGTCGGATAGTAGTGTCTATGTGCTGGGTAGACTATACCTACTGGATGGGTAGGTTTTACTTAGGGGTTAACATATATGTACTGTACGACAGAGCCTCAAATTTTCATTGTTTCATGGCACATGTGCATTTGGATAGTTCAAATTATATTATCATTTGTATCCAAGTAAGGGTCTAATATGAGTATTTATTGACTATTTGCACTCGTTAGAACTTACAGAGATTGTGTGATGTTTGTACTCGTCGAACTTATGTGGGACAATTTAGTTATTGGTTGCTATGTGTTACTTTTGTCTTATTATAGGAAGACAAGGTATTATACTTGTGTTTCACCCTTTATACTTCAGGTTCAGTTTTCATTTTGTATTACATGCTCGATATATTATTTTTTATTGATATCTATTTTCGGGGGCATTGCATCCATGCCTAAAGGTCATAAGTGATAACCAAACAGACCTATCAAGTAGTACAACTGCCTATCTAGTTAATAGGTTGACTCATTTCTTTCAGGGTTTGCTAGAGTCTCTAAGATTTTCTTGTTTTGTTGTCTACAAAATTTGGGTAGGTTGAGCCATGTACCATCCAAGTATTATATTTGTATAGGCTTGCAGACTAGTGTGTTGAATCATATATCCATGTTATTGTATATGTTGACCTGTTTTTCTAGTTAGCTGATGTTTAATACTTGTTTGATGTATCATTTTTTTTCAACTTCTGCATAGAAATTGTGGTGGCTTTGACGATCCAAATAACATTTATGCATTCCCTGATATCATGATGGCCTTGACATCCCAAATAGGTATAACACATCAGATATTGGTAAGCTAAGTTGGAAAGGAAATGTTCTAGAAAATGATCTGGTGCCAAGTTGCACAAGCATACCTACGGTCCGTAGAAGAACCTACAGCTTGTAGAAGGCCGTGGTGGATTGAGTCTTGGAAAAGTTGAAATGTCAAGTCCCAAATGAACGACATATGGACCAACAAGACAATCAGTAAGAAGCCCTACGAATCGTAGGATGTTCCCGTAGGTTTAGAGGTAGACTTGGTGAATTTTGGATGACCTTGGGTCTATGGATGGGTGTACAGGCCGTCCAAGGTATTACGGTCCGTATCCCATAGGTCGTAGAAGTAAAATTGGACTTATACTTTGTTGGATCATTGTTACCCATTGTTTCATAATGAACTGTATTTTACAATACTGTATTGTATTGTACTGTATGGTAGATATAATGTTTGTCTAGACTCTATTGTTTGTTGTTGTTTAATAACATTTTTATTGTTTGGTTTGACTGTATAGTACTATATTGTAATTTATAAATTTACTAAAATGTCCTTAATTATTCTAGGGTGGGAGGTTTGACTAGATTAAATAAGATAGGGTAAACTCGTATTATGAAATATTAAGTACGGATATAATTGGAAAAAGAAATTAAGTAACGATAGGAACACTTTCATAAAATGGAGGTTTTCATTATTACGTAACAACGAAACTTAACAATACAATACAATATATTTAAAGTAACAATCAAAACAAATAGTGCATGTATGATAACAATACAATGGGTAATAATGATCCAAACAAGGTGTTAAATTTTTTTGGAAGTAGGTTCTAAGAGAGGGTCCTACATGTTATAGAAAGTTCCATGACTCATACGAAGTGGTC